ACATAGAAATTCTTGTTATTGATATACATTATCAATCATGAATTAAACCACGCATTGGATTTAATTTACAATACAATGAACATCTAATGTAGAAACAAATAATAATAGAAACATACATAGGAAATTTTTGTTATTGATATGAAATATCAATCGCGAATTAAACCACACTTTGGGTTTAATTACAGTACAATAAAAATCCTAATGTAGAAAAATATTAAACAAAAATGGGGAAAATTAGCTAAGTTAAAACTGGGGAGAATTAACTAAGTAGAGCTACTCTTGCTTGGCAGTGAGGGGTCGATGTCTAATTAGGAATAACTCGAGCAGCAGGGACCCAGCATAAACAATATATGTTAAAGTTTTTTTATGCAGAAAAACTTAATTAACCAATACACATTATAATTAACAATTAATCGAGTATGGCAAAATAAAAATATACAAAACAAATTTAATCTTGATAAGGGAGGAAAGCTATTTACATGAATTTAATTTAGATAATATTATGGTGCTAGTTAAAAATAAAATATTCAAAACAATTTAAATCTAGACAATGTACAAAGAAGCAGGGAACATACCACACGTGTATTTGTTTACATGGGAAACGCCCACTTCTTGTTTGCATTGGTAACTTCCGGTTTTAGAATAAACTTCCGGTTTATGGAAATTAACTGAATGAAAGTTCCTAGAGGGATGATTACAATTGCTGACTTACGAAATGATAAATAAAAACTCTGTTCTAAAAATTGTTTTTACAAACTTGTCGATGGGTATGGTATTAATTAAAAAGTTGTTTGGACATATGAGATAAATAATTCCAGAAACTCTTGAGTCATATAAAATGCAAACAATACTTTCCGCACAATTCTAAAACATGGTATTGAAATAATACATCAGGTAACATTTGGCGAGACAAGTATATAAAAATCATATGCATAACATCAACAAGTTACTTACTCTTTCTTGAGCATTGTGAGACGGGTAAATATGCATTTCAAGATCATGATGGTCCGTTAGGTAAAAGCACACACACGTGTTTGTTTTCTTTGCAAAATCTTTGATAATTATAAATTAAATACAAATAATAAGTTACAGCTTTAGGTAACGATTTCTTTTAGCTTGCGTATATAAAATCTTTATAAAACTTCGTTCCTCAAAAATGTAAAGCCTTTGTTAAAGAAAAATATAATGTTTATGCCCCAAATTAGATTATTTTGGAGCATCTTCAATTTAATTCTGCCTATGAAAAATTAATAGAATTCTACCGTACTTGAATTAAATCTGAAGGTCGAAAAGATTACAAGTGGGAAAACTACAAATTCTGTGTCTCACACATTACTTGGAATAAGATGTTACAATGCATTATAAACATAAAAAGTGTATAACAGTAATAAACACAGAATAATCTCATACAAATGAATATGAATAAATTCAGTATACAAGAATTAAAATATAAAAAATACATGTAAAAAGAATTGCTCACCTGTAAAATTACAATGGAGACAGCCTGATAAATTTGATGTGTCTTTATTCTGGTCGCAGCTTCAAGTGGTTAGCTGGACAAGCGACAGGTAACTTACTCAGATGCCCCCAATGTTGGTGAGGTTCCAGGAGGGTTATTTACAGTATTTTCTATATGAAGTATAGGTAATTTACCTTTTAGGGGCCTCAACAAAAACATATGTCCAGTCGGGCCTTATTGCTGATTGGTCAGATCTTAGCGTGGGTTCGGACAAAGAAATTCGTGAAAAACACCAATCTGGAAGGAAGGTTACGTAAGAGCACCCGAGTCCTAATTGACTAATTAACACGGCCGATAATTCTTTTACAAAGAGACGAAGATAGAGTCGGGACCGGACCTGAGTTCTTAATTGAAATGACAAAAGGGATTATGAGAATCTAACAGAGTCGCCGAACCGAACAAATAATCTAAATGTGGGAAACGTAAATCTTGTTTGTCAAACTGTTTTAGAGCTCAATTAACGTGGCTAAGTATATGGTTATTTAATTTGGGGATTATTGTTTGTAAAATGTTTTACGAAAATATTCCAAATAGTAAAAAGATTACGAAAATAATCCAAATAGTAAAAAGTTCCAAAATTTCATTGCAATAAACAAGTTTATGTATTTTTATGTAAGTTATGAAAAATGTAAAATATCAGTATGATA